ATTGAACAGTTTGTACAGCATTTTTTCGAATTCGTTTGCCGCTTGTTTACGCAACTCGCTATTCAACCCAATGTATCTTGGCGAGATGCAAGCCATTCCTTCTTGCTTGTTTCAGAGCTCTATCGTGTATTATCTAACGCTCCTTATCATCGAGAGTTGTCATGAGATTTTTCTGTTTGAATTCCGGAACAGTTTTGTGCTCCGGACAAAATGGCATATTTTTGTGCGCATCGTGAAATTCTTTTGGATTCTCCAAATCCACCTCGAGTATTTGCCGATGTATAAGACGCACCTTTTTACCGTCAAAACTGACTTCAAAATCCGCCTGCGTCTTATACACCGAATGTAAGATACCTCAAACCCCAAACCTACAAACCCCAAACCCACTAACCTAACTAAAACGTGCGCCTGAATAGTAGCAATTAGGCAACCCTCACTACTTTTAAATATCTTTCAAAACTAGCAGATGACAAAGAGTGATTACTTATTTAATAGGTAAATTTTTTATTATTTTCATAATAATTAGTAAACGTACTTTATGTCTGAGGATGATAAAAAATACCTAGTACCTATATGCCACTTGGGATCAAAAAACGTCGCATAATATACTAGATAATTATTACGAGATTTTTTATAAAAGCGGTATTTTTGTTGCATCGTTTATTTTAATATAATTTTGAAACTGTTTTTTGAAGTAAGAGACTGACTTGAATTCCAATATGAGCGAAGCTAACAAACGAAAATCGTACCTAGCGGGCTATAAATTGAAGGTGATCAAATTTGCTGAAGAACATGGCAATAGAACTGCCGAACGTCATTTCGGCTCACCACCGACGGAAAAAACTATAAGGCTTTGGCGTTCTCAGAAGAATAATTCGATAAAAATGCATTAATCAAAGCGTGCGCAACGTGGTAAGAAAGGAAAGTGGTATATTTCAGAGGATAAAGTTAAACTATGGATTGAAAATAATCGTTTCAAAGGGTTAGCTGTTTCAACAAAAATGATACGCATACATGCACAAAAAGTAGCTTTAAAAAGTCAAATAAATGATTTTAAAGGAGGTCCGTCATGGTGTCACCGCTTCATGAAATGCAATGATTTAGCTATGCGAGTGAAAACAATAATTTGTCAAAAAATGCCAAAAAAGTACGAAGACAAAATTATCTCTTTTCACCGGTATATAATTCACTGTAAACAAGCAATGAATTTTGAAACCGGACAGATAGTAAATATGGAAGAAACACCTATGACCTTCTATGTTCCATCAAATATAAGTGTTTCGAAAAAAGGACAAAAAACGATTACGATAAAGACAAGTGATCATGAAAAATCCCACTACACCGTGGTTCTTGCTTGCTGTGCTGATGGTGTAAAGCTACTTCCAATGATCATTTTTAAACGTAAATCTATGCCTAAGGATAAAATACCGACAGGTGTAATAGTGCATGTACACCCAAAAGGATGGATGGATGAAGTTGGTATGAACATTTGGATTAATAAAGTTTGGTGTAGAAGACAAGGCGGCTTTTTGAAAAAAAAGCACTTTTGGTTCTTGATTTAAAAATACATTTACATTAAGACAACACTATATCAAATAAAACTATTAATTTGAGTTTTTTTTGTCTGAATGTTGCCGGTGTTAGTTTTCCCCGGGCCAACGGGTACAAAATTATTGATTTGCGGCAACTTTCAAAACCTATTGGTGTTTACGCTTTGGCTAAAGAGTCGTTTGGTCACACTCGCACGCGCTTACAACGACTGTTTACAAATTATCATCGCGGCGGGCCTTCGCAAGCTAACTAACAGAGAGGCGATGTTTACTATGTGGCTTTTAACTCAAAGTGTGCACAACAACACTTTGATTGCCACCTAAGTTGCTGGTTGACTGAGCGCAAGGTCAATGTTTAGAACCGGCGTTTTGAACAATCATAAACGCTGTAGGTTCTTTTACGTTGGGCGCCATGTAACGGGGTAGATAACCGTCGTATTATTTATGCGCGCGATCACGTCGAAGAGCGCGCGGGATTATTTACACGTTCAAATTCGAAAATCGGAGAGCAGGAGGGAATGGGTGTCAGTCAACCAACTTTCTACTAGCGCGAAATAATAACATCAAAGTTATAATCAATATCACATTCGAGATCGTTTATTACCTCTTATTTCTACAATGTATTCGGCCCCCGTGTTTATGTTTACAAAGCGCGCGCGCGACAATAACATGCAGTGTCGGATCGATCGCCGCTCTTTGTTCGCCGAGTTAATACATGCACGCTTCTTATGGAGTACGAAAGATTAGTGATTAGCAATCATAGCAATCGCGAAATTAAGCTGGCTAGCTTACCTGATTAGCAGTCGCACGGTGAACGAGAGAGAAAGTTCGCACTCTAATTTCGGGAAAACCTGTCTCTGTCACGAGGTATTTCGCGTTTTTGGTTTCGCCTTCCATGGCGAAACCCTTCACTCACGCACACTAGTACGCACTTGATCTGGTCTGGCTCAGGCACCGCTCCTCTCGATGTATTCAGTTGACTTCACTTAGCACTCCAAGAAAACTCGGGAAAACTCGAATTAATATCTGCTGCAGCTGAGTGTGCAGGTTCTAATCTTCGACTGGTTCATTTTCATATGCGCGCGTTCCGTCTCGTCTCCTGCCGAATTCCCTCGTCACATCTTTCCCCAACCGATAGGTGCTGCCCCCGCAGGCAGCCGCATGGTTGGGCTGTCAGCGCTAATAAGACGTTTACTGTCACAATATATATATATATATAGTCTATATATATGTCTCTCTCTCTCTCTCTCTCTCTCTCTCTCTCTCTCTCTATATATATATATATATATATATATATATATATATATTGGAAAAGGTCACTTCAGCGAGTATTTTTTCAAGTATTGGTCAGTTCAGCGATTTTTTCGGCAGTTTGACGATCTCCTTAAACTGCCATTATTCAATTGATCAGTTTGGCGAGCTCCCCAAAGTGCCAATATTCCAATCAGGCAGTTTAGCGAACTTGCTAAAAACCTGTCAAATAATGAAATTAAATTTTTTATCGGGATAATGATAAAAAATTCTCGACTGCCTAAGGGGCACCTAACTGTGTCAACTGTGAACCATGCAGGGAACGAATAGTACTAACACCTGATGGAATTTACTTGGGGTAACGCTAGTTAGTAGGAGTTTGAGTAAACAAGGTTAACTTAATACCTGAATAACTTTTCGTCAATATGGAGTTCTCAAAGTTTTAATATATATATTAATTTCATATGAAGATCCCCAAAGGCACGAAATATTCAATGTTTGCAGGTCTTAAAAGACAGCACCCATATTAATTTTATTTAGATAATCGATAAACTAATGATGCCGTTAAATAGTTTATCGAAAAAGGATCAACTTTTTTCATTATCTTTTGTTTATTAGTCCTCAAAGAAGACCCTTAAAAAAATAAAATAACCCTTGGGTGTTGAGTCAAGCACCCAAATCATAATTGGCGCTAAAATAAATAAAAAATTGTTTTAAAAAAATAATTTGTACCCTAATCGTTAGTTCATAAGACGAACTAACGGCACTCATGATGAAATCATGGATAACTTAATTAATCAAGCAATTATAAATAAAATACCATTTTGGCCTATGCTTGCCAGCCCGCGGCCAACCGCCAGGGCAGCGCGCGTGCTCCCCGAATTACCCCACGTACCCCTGCTCTTATTGTTTAAGAAACTCCAATTAGATTGTTGTACATTACAATATTAATATTTCTATTCCTATAATCCTGGTGAAAGTGAGCCGTCAACTACATTTCACCAATGCCGTGAATATTATGGGTAAATACTGGATACAAGCGAACGGACTAACAATATACAATAAAATAAGTAAATAAATTAATTTTTTGACTATTAAAAAAAAAAACTTTATTTATAAAAATAAAATGTTTTATTTTAAGCTCTTAAAAAATTGCTCACTATTTAAAAAAATTTGCCTCGTTATATGTCCGAAAAACATTATTTATTATGAAAAAATTTAAATAATATCTAATAACAAACACATGGACACACATATACCAATCAGTTGCGTAAACTCCGTATGCTTGCGCACGCGCAAATCGTCTTTTTCGTTTTAAATTGCTTACAATACAAGTTGTGTTATTTCAATTTTTTGATTAAATATAAACGTCTTATAAGTTAGCGCCCAAAAATGAAAATTTTGGAAAATCGAAATGCAATCGAATGCAATTTGCATGGAACAATTAGTTATAAGACGACTAATCTAATGGTATAATTGTTTTTTCGATTTTCCAAAATTTTTCATTTTTGGGCGCTAACTTATAAGACCTGCAAGATTTGTATTATTTCACGTGTGGAAATCCTTAGTTTCCATGTTATGATTGTAAGATATACGTACATATCGTTCGTTCTTTTAGATAAAATCACGTTCTATTGACTAAATAAATAATTCGTTCTTTTAAATAAAATCACGTTTTATTGACTAAATAAATAACTTAATTTATTATATATATTTTATTATATATTATATACATTTTATCTTAAATTTCATTTATATTATATATTAAATTATTTGAATATTCATTATTTTATTCTAAAAATAGCTAATATTCTATACATAATTATTTAAATTGATAATAAATAATTTGCATAAACAAAAGATAAATATATGATTTTTCATGTATTGTACACATTGAAAAAAAAACTAAACAAAATTTTCATTGACTGCTACAAGCATTTTAATGTTAATAAACTTCATATGATTTATTTTGTTTCCAATGTGTAGCTAGCAATTTTCTCTCGAATTTTATACTAAATGTTACTATTTTATTTTTGTACAGTTTATTATCAAGATAATTTTCTCACTGAAAATAATTTATTTTATTTAAAATTATTTACATGTATAGATTAAAGTTGTACGTATAAAATTTATTAATGAAATTTAAGTGTAAAATTGAAGAGCCACAAAATTACATTTTGAAAGTAAACAATGTACATACTTCACTAATTATTTAAGCGTCTGATGTTTTTTCCAACTTAATTTATTTAAAGGGATTTGTGTGAAGAATAGATTAAAAAGCAATTGTTCTTGAAACTTTATTGATCTACAGGCTTATAATAAACAACTTTGATATAAAACCATACAATAGTGATAAATTTTCAAACATAAAGTTTTCATAATACACTTGTAATGAACTACGGTTACCAGAGAATATTTTATAATGAATAGAGATAAAACTATAAGTAACTTATATTCTTTAAATATCACAACTTAAAAGATATAATAAATTACTATATCTAATGTAAAGTTTACAATGACTTAAGATGTTGCTACTATTTTAATAAATATTGTATCTAAAAGCATTAGATAAAAAAGTGAAACTCACTAGTTAAAGGAATAATAAATAAAAATATATAATTAAATATAAGAAAAACGAAACTTTAAAGCAATTTTTTAAAGAAATTTTTTTTTTAATATTTAAAGAAAAATATCAAGTTAGAGTTTTTATTTATTTTTAACATTTGTTTTCTTTCTGATAGCTAAACTCACCCAATTTTGTATATTAGCTGTGGTAATATTGGATTTAGATGGAGACCTGGCTAAGAATATTCCACATTTTTTGTGTGAAGGAACTTTGTTTGCATCAATGTACTTTGCAAAGTAACTGTAAATGTAACTCGGTATATGATCTCTTTCTGGCAAATCTGATTCAGTTTTTTTTTCATTTCTTTTAAGATGCATCCAAGACCTTATTTGGCCTTGAGATCTCATTTTTAATATTGGATCTTTAGTCTTGCTTATAAATGTGTTAATGTCTTTAACAGATGGAACTTTATATTTCAAATCCAATGCATTTGGAAAAGCCGCTAAGAGGACATCTATTTGTTTCTGCCTCCAAGCTAATCGTGCAGGTCGAGATGCTTCTGTTGATCAAGAACGAACATTTGGAAAATTAAAATAAAATTTATAACTGAACTAAAATGTATTCTAGAATGAAGGTAGTCATAAGGAACATTTATTACCTGAAATTGATTTATCATTAGTATTGCCATGGCCTCTGCTGTGATCTTCAATAGGATCTTCAACATTCGTTTCAATACTTAAAGAATCAATAGAATCTGCAAAATTCATGTCAGCACTTGAAGAATCAATAGTATTTTCATTAAAGGAAGAAAGATTTTTTTGATAAGTCAGATCAACGTTTTTATCACAAGTAGCACTTTTATCAATTTTAAGACCTTGAGCTTCTCTTATTTGTCTTGATATAGCTATGTCTGTGTTAAAAACACTCTGCCTATAGTTTTGTTTATGTATATTTGGCGTATGACCCAAGTATTCACACAATTTTTGCACTTCAGGTTCTGGAATTCCTTTTTCCATACCATCTGTTGCAATTTTCATACGAATACGAGTGCCTCTCAGAGTTTCAGGATTTTCTGCTTTGCAGCTCTCAGAAAATTTGTTCATCAAAGTGCATGCTGATACATATCCAAAATCTTCCGATGCTACATCATGGATAGTGGCAAATATATATGGATTTATTTCTGATATCTTTGCTCTTTTTCTACACGATACTAATGTATTTAAATATTCTTTGATATTTATATCAAAAACAACAGGAACACCTCTGCTTCTTTTTCCACGTATAATTATCAAGCACTCCTTTTTATCACTTTGCATATGTTGATAGTCCACAATTTCCATTCGCTCTGTCTCCCCAGGTCGCCTACCATTAGTTGCTTGCAAATAACAAAGAGTAGCATTTCTCAATCGTTCATATGCTTGGTCAGAGTATTTGTTTTTTAATTCATAATCTGCAGTTCTCATTTCCTCTTGCAAATGTTTGTATAAACTAGCAGTATCAGATTGCATAGGTAAGGCAATGACTTTGTTTCTTCGTATTCTGGCTTGGGTTTCCAAAATGGTACTGCCTATATCATATTGCCACATTTTCTTTAATTTACGTTGAAAAGCTTGAACTGTCAATCTTTCTTTTTCATTCTTTGGACCAAGGTTAACTTCATAGATTTCACATACATGATTTATTAAATTGAACATATCATTTGCTGTAGCTGGTGACTGCATGAAAGCAGTATCTGGATGTGGCTTCCCCATAATCTTAACAACTGCAATAAAATCATTATAATGTTCTTCATTGAATATATCGCTAAGCTCTGTTATATTTTCATTGATTTTTTTTATTTCCATCATTAATGTGCCTAATCTGCTTATATTAGCTCTAACTTTAGGATGAATGTGTTTTTTTACTTCAGTTCTATTAGCTTCTGCATTGAGCCACATAAAAAAAGCTGCATCAAACCTTACTTGTTCAACTGCTTGAGTTTCCCTCATTTTAGATATAATTTTAATAGCAGATTCATTGGCTAACTCATGGTAAGCACCATTAGTTTCTCTTCCTTTTGACTTTATAACATGTTTTTTTTTGAATGAGAGTCCAGTGCATTTTTGTGTATGTTTACGTAGAGAACTTACAGAAAATACTTGGGTACAATTGTAACATGGAAGATAATTAGACAATAATTTGCCTTCTACCTTTGGTCTACGGCGAACCACATATTGACTACCATCCTCTGCATTTAAATTATTTAAATGATTTGCTTTTATTCTCAACAAGTCCAGAATTTTTTTTCGCTTTTTCATCCATCCTTGTTGCTGTTCTTTTGAAGCAGTATAAGGATTTTCTTTATGAATAGCTAACTTTTTTTTCAGTCTTTTAAGTTTTATCACTACTCTCTCATTTGAATGCTTTGATACGTAGTGTTCAGGTAATTTTGTGTACAAGACACGTTGATTAGAATCATTTTCCTCTATGCGTTTTACTACACAATAAAAACAACAGTTCTTTTTACATCCATCGTTGCTGCATAATAGAACTTGAGATGTTCTATTTCTTAGAGCTTGCCCAACTGACTTCAAATTAATATTTACAAAAGAGTTTTCTAAACTACTCAGGTCTGAAGATACATTCACATTATCATTTTGAATTTTATCAACATGATTATTTGTATTTGTATCAAGCAACTCAGAATATTCAAGAAAATTTGTTGTAACAGTACTTGATTTGGCAAAAGTAACCTTGGAAGTTTTCTTACAATTTTTAGTTTTTTTCACAGCTTTTGATTTGTTTAATTTAAGAGAAGAATGCTCAATCATAAACTTCTTTGTAGAAGCTACTATAGGACAACATTTAGAATTTTCACCTGTTAAAGATTAAGCTTCATTATTTGTTTTACTCCTTGCTGTCCATTTCTTACCTTGTTCTAAATTAAATATTCATATTACCTCCTGCAGCTTCACCTGTATACATCTTAGTCTTTGGTATATCTGCATCTATAGGTGTAAGTTTTATAACTAATTCTGGTAACAAACTTTCTAATTTTCTACCTGTACAAGGTTTTCCTCTACCTATTATAGTTTTAGACGAATCAAGTTTACTATTTGCAGAATCATTATCTGATGATAGTTCAGTATCATCAACTGTTTGGTGCATAGGTGACGAAATGGTGGACGATTTAAGAATACTACTAGTTATTGATTCAGCATCTGACGATAAATCATAATGCCCAGCTGCAGATTGATTTTTACATGATTGCTTGGCTGGTAAATTAAGAATTTTGCTACTTATTGAATCATCATCTGATGATGACTCAGATATACAATCTTCACTGGTTTCATGCTTATTTGATACTTTTATACATGGCTTCGTTTTGAAATTCTTTACTTTTCCAGCTAAATGAGGTTCACGAATATTCATCAAGTCATTACGGTCTTCATTATCTGAAAAATCCAATTCACTGCTAAGAGACATTTTATATTTCTTGTGATCAAACTTTGTATGATTCCGTTTTTCAATATACGATATTTCAGATCCACTGTTATCATCAGTAGTGGAAATTTGTTCATCTCCAGGATCAGGTACATATTCTGAACCACTTGTGACCGATTCGGATTCAGAATCATATAAATCATAATTTGTAGTATTACAGGAAGCAATTTGATTGTCTACTTGACAATTTACATAATCTTCTGCTGAATCTTCTGATAAAATAAAAATTAATATTGTAATCTAAGGTAAAGCGCCTCTATGAATAAACAGCACAAAAATCTTACCAGATAGAACAATGGAATTACTATCCATATTTCTCAGGTTAAGTATTTATGTCTCTCAAGAAACCCAATCCTCTCAGTATTTCTATACGTTAATCAGATGGTTCTTTTATAACAAATATTCTGTTGAATCATCTGAAAAATAAAAAATAATATTGTAATCTAAGGTAAAGCGCCTTTATGAATAAACAGCACAAAAATCTTACCAAATAGCACAATGGAATTACTATCCATATTTTTCAGGTTAAGCATTTATGTCTCTCAAGAAACCCAATCCTCTCAGTATTTCTATACGTTAATCAGGGGGTTCTTTTATAACAAATATTCTGCTGAATCATCTGGAAAATAAAAAATAATATTGTAATCTAAGGCGCTTTGCCTCTATGAATAAACAGCACAAAAATCTTACCAGATAGAACAATGGAATTACTATCTATATTTCTCAGGTTAAGTATTTATGTCTCTCAAGAAACCCAATCCTCTCAGTATTTCTATACGTTAATCAGGTGGTTCTTTTATAACAAATATTCTGTTGAATCATCTGAAAAATAAAAAATAATATTGTAATCTAAGGTAAAGCGCCTTTATGAATAAACAGCACAAAAATCTTACCAAATAGCACAATGGAATTACTATCCATATTTTTCAGGTTAAGCATTTATGTCTCTCAAGAAACCCAATCCTCTCAGTATTTCTATACGTTAATCAGGGGGTTCTTTTATAACAAATATTCTGCTGAATCATCTGGAAAATAAAAAATAATATTGTAATCTAAGGCGCTTTGCCTCTATGAATAAACAGCACAAAAATCTTACCAGATAGAACAATGGAATTACTATCTATATTTCTCAGGTTAAGTATTTATGTCTCTCAAGAAACCCAATCCTCTCAGTATTTCTATACGTTAATCAGGTGGTTCTTTTATAACAAATATTCTGTTGAATCATCTGAAAAATAAAAAATAATATTGTAATCTAAGGTAAAGCGCCTTTATGAATAAACAGCACAAAAATCTTACCAAATAGCACAATGGAATTACTATCCATATTTTTCAGGTTAAGCATTTATGTCTCTCAAGAAACCCAATCCTCTCAGTATTTCTATACGTTAATCAGGGGGTTCTTTTATAACAAATATTCTGCTGAATCATCTGGAAAATAAAAAATAATATTGTAATCTAAGGCGCTTTGCCTCTATGAATAAACAGCACAAAAATCTTACCAGATAGAACAATGGAATTACTATCTATATTTCTCAGGTTAAGTATTTATGTCTCTCAAGAAACCCAATCCTCTCAGTATTTCTATACGTTAATCAGGTGGTACTTTTATAACAAATCTTCTGCTGAATTATCTGAAAAATAAAAAATAATATTGTAATCTAAGGTAAAGCGCCTTTATGAATAAACAGCACAAAAATCTTACCAAATAGCACAATGGAATTACTATCCATTTTTTTCAGGTTAAGTATTTATGTCTCTCAAGAAACCCAATCCTCTCAGTATTTCTATACGTTAATCAGGGGGTTCTTTTATAACAAATATTCTGCTGAATCATCTGGAAAATAAAAAATAATATTGTAATCTAAGGCGCTTTGCCTCTATGAATAAACAGCACAAAAATCTTACCAGATAGAACAATGGAATTACTATCCATATTTCTCAGGTTAAGTATTTATGTCTCTCAAGAAACCCAATCCTCTCAGTATTTCTATACGTTAATCAGGTGGTTCTTTTATAACAAATATTCTGCTGAATCATCTGGAAAATAAAAAATAATATTGTAATCTAAGGCGCTTTGCCTCTATGAATAAACAGCACATAAATCTTACCTGATAGAACAATGGAATTACTATCTATATTTCTCAGGTTAAGTATTTATGTCTCTCAATAAAACCCAATCCTCTCAGTATTTCTATACGTTAATCAGGTGGTTCTTTTATAACAAATATTCTGCTGAATCATCTGAAAAATAAAAAATAATATTGTAATCTAAAGTAAAGCGTCTTTATGAATAAACAGCACAAAAATCTTACCAAATAGCACAATGGAATTACTATCCATATTTTTCAGGTTAAGTATTTATGTCTCTCAATAAAACCCAATCCTCTCAGTATTTCTATACGTTGATCAGGTTGTTCTTTTATAACAAATCTTCTGCTGAATCATCTGGAAAATAAAAAATAATATTGTAATCTAAGGCGCTTTGCCTCTATGAATAAACAGCACAAAAATCTTACCAGATAGAACAATGGAATTACTATCTATATTTCTCAGGTTAAGTATTTATGTCTCTCAATAAAACCCAATCCTCTCAGTATTTCTATACGTTAATCAGGTGGTACTTTTATAACAAATCTTCTGCTGAATTATCTGAAAAATAAAAAATAATATTGTAATCTAAGGTAAAGCGCCTTTATGAATAAACAGCACAAAAATCTTACCAAATAGCACAATGGAATTACTATCCATTTTTTTCAGGTTAAGTATTTATGTCTCTCAAGAAACCCAATCCTCTCAGATTTCTATACGTTAATCAGGTGGTTCTTTTATAACAAATCTTCTGCTGAATCATCTGGAAAATAAAAAATAATATTGTAATCTAAGGCGCTTTGCCTCTATGAATAAACAGCACAAAAATCTTACCAGACAGAACAATGGAATTACTATCTATATTTCTCACGTTAAGTATTTATGTCTCTCAAGAAACCCAATCCTCTCAGTATTTCTATACGTTAATCAGGTGGTTCTTTTATAACAAATATTCTGCTGAATCATCTGAAAAATAAAAAATAATATTGTAATCTAAGGTAAAGCGCCTTTATGAATAAACAGCACAAAAATCTTACCAAATAGCACAATGGAATTACTATCCATATTTTTCAGGTTAAGTATTTATGTTTCTCAATAAAACCCAATCCTCTCAGTATTTCTATACGTTGATCAGGTGGTTCTTTTATAACAAATCTTCTGCTGAATCATCTGGAAAATAAAAAATAATATTGTAATCTAAGGCCCTTTGCCTCTATGAATAAACAGCACAAAAATCTTACCAGATAGAACAATGGAATTACTATCTATATTTCTCAGGTTAAGTATTTATGTCTCTCAAGAAACCCAATTCATTTCTATACGTGAATTAGGTGGTTCTTTTATAACAAAATGGAAGTAGCATTCAAGAGCAATAAAAAAGTTTTATAATGCTCCAAAAATGGACATAGAAAACGATCAAAACCGCCAAAATGCAACCACGAACTATATATTAAGTCATAGAAATTGTAATGAATGAGAATTAGAAGTTTGCTACATACAGTGATGAGAATCCAATGAGGAAACAAGATTCTTCAACAAATTCGGAAAATTGTTTGTAACTTTTGAAAAAAAAAATTAATTTTGGGAGCAATTTGATATTTGTAGGGAGCATTTCAGGAGCAACTTTTTGATATATTGTAAGTTAATTGTTATTGAAAGTGTCCGTTAACTATTTACATATATTAGTCTAGCGTACTAGACCGGTTGCGGATGAACCGAGCAAAATTTGACACAGAGAAGACTTTCTTATATACCATGGATTCATGGATGGTATAAAAAAATATAGAATATAATAAATACTTTCCAATATTTTATTGCAACAAACAAGTTTTCTTGGATTTTTAAATTGAATATTTTTTTATAATAACTTTTCGGTTACTTATGAAATTGAATATTAAAAAAAACAATTAGTGCCAGAATTTTTTGCAAATTTGCTAATTTTTATATTTTGGAAAAGGCACTCTCAGTTTTGACAATTTTTATTTTAGTTTGATTATATAAGATTGTTTTGGGTTATTATTATGTGATAATATGACATTGGATAAATAGTTAAAATATGTGTGAAAATAAACAAAAAAAATGAATTGTCAGACCATGATGAGAATAGATGATTTGTGTAAATCATTAATTCTGGATATGTATCTTGGATTTGAAACCAAAAAAATATGTAGAAATACTAGCATTTCAGGTAATGTTCTGAAGGAGGTTTTCCAATTGATGCTCAGATATGTACCACTAAAATCTAGTCAAATAGAAGAACTAAGAGAGAAAATCATAGAATTGTCAATAAAGTATAAGCTTCTGTACACGTTCAGTATTCCTTACAGAGCTTTGATTAATCCTGTCATGACTGCTTACCTAGAGGCATTTTCAACAGAGGCTCCATTTGATATTGTCGAATGTGACAGGTACCAGGGGGACAATCACAAAGGTTTAAAAGTGACAGCGAAAAGAGACATTCCAAGAAACACAATATTAAAATGCATAGTAGGATTTTACCAGAATTTAGATTTTGAAACCAAAGTATATTTAGATAAAGAAAAATTAGATTTTTCTGTGATGAAGAGTTCAAGAAAAAATTTAGATATGCTCCTGCTTGGTCCGGTAGCATTTATCAACCATGATTGTAATGCAAATTCATGTTATATATCATTATCCAGAAATTTTGTGAAAATAAAAACCATTAGAAAAATTCAAGCTGGTGAAGAAATTTTATGTAACTACTCTTCAAATTATTTTGGTGCTGAAAACAAATATTGCGAATGTGTAACTTGTCAAGAAAATGGTAAAGGATATTTTATGAAGAAAAATTCAAGTACGTCTGTTTATATGGTGACATAATTTTAACATATAATTTTAATTAACATTTTTTAATTAAAAACATATAAGTTTTAATAGATAAGATAATTTTAATACATTTTTAATACATAAGATTTTGTGGATAATTTTGGAATAATCAATCTGCAATTATATTAATAAGTTTGAATTTTTATAATTTCAGTAAAAATAACGAGTCAAAATAAGGATGATGATATTCAGCCAAGCAATATTATAAGTAATAATTTCTCAGAGATGTCATCAGAACAGGTCTTGAAATTGAACCTAAATACCATATCTATTCACAGCAGTTATATAGCGCTGAGTGTTTCTAGAATATTTTCAAAAAATATTCTTTCTAGTATTCGACTACAAGTTTGCCAAACTTTGAGTAATTATTTTTCTACTGATCAATTTATTTTCAAATCATCTCAGAGTGGTACAGATATTGTAATAGTAATTAATAAATTATATTTAAAGTTTGAAATTGAACAGTTATATTGGTTAGAATCAATTATTAAAAATTATCTGAAAACTGATAAGCCAAATTTCCATGACTTCATCCAATGCTGCGTTGAGAATGATATTTCTATTCAATTAAATTTGAGTAAGTATATGCAATTTTATTATATTAAAAAGCAATGGATTTATGTTGAAATATGTATACCCTCATCAAATCATTTTTCATGCTATAAAATCCACCATATAACATGTTATATCCCACATATGTCATACTGTAAAATTAGGTACTTTATACTAGATCAATATTTCCATCTTGTAGCTAATTATATCAGTATGCCGAGTGAATATTTTAGATTGTACAAGATATTTAAAGAACACAACATATTAATAAATGATAAATTTATAAAAATCGAATTTGCAATTCAAATCGTATTGAAATATTACACTACTAAAAACATATTGTGCTACAGATAAAAAATTTTAAGATTAAATTTCTCACTATGAATCTGTAAGCCTCTTTGAATGAAAGAAATTGAATGACTAGAGAACGCAAATACCAAAAATAAAGCAATGATATCTAATGTATTTCAAACTAAAAGCCTTAGCAATTTGATAATTTTACTTTACATAATATCAATCTATCTACTATATACATTGAAGAATTAGATCTCCTACCACTAGTAACAACTTAAAAGAATTATCATGGAAATATTGGTATAGAATAATTATCTAATTTTGTAACATAACAATATCTAGCTAACTATTATTTGTTAACAGCTTTGATAATTTTATTGTTTTTTTCAGAAAGTTTGTTAAATCCATATTCAATTGGATTTTCCAGTGTTTGCCTAAGTCCTCATATGGAATATACAATAATGTTCGACTTTGAAGAGGAATTTTGTGGTTTTTCCATGTATAAGAAATTAGATCAAAAGATTGATCGTGCATATATAAAGTTAGAAAAACTGCATCCGCTAGTAATTAAAAGATATCAAAAAAAGTCAAAAGATGGGAATACTTTTTGCATATTCTGCCAGAAATTTGTAAAAAAATTTAGCAGACACCTAAGTAATAAGCACATCGATAATGATGTGGTAAAAATGTTTTTAATTGAGAATGAAAACAAATCGTCAAAAAGATTAGCGATAAATTTCATTAGGAACCAAGGACTTGCAAAATACAAAGATATAACGGGAACGATAATGCCTGCAATGAAGATTAGAGTAGATGCATTAAATCCAGTTCAAAAAGTTCAATGTGATAACTGCTTTGGGTTTTTTTCAAGAGCAACTATGTGGAAGCACAAATTATACTGCAGAAAATTGTTATTGTCCGAAATTCGCTCTACTCAGCCATAATATATCATACAACTTTTCATTGCCATATCAATAGAAAAATTATGATATATGAATAAGCTGATGTTGAAAGTTTATTCAAGAAAATTAAAATTAGAAAATTAAAAACTTTCAAGAAACATATCATTAAGGATCCCCTATCCCTATATAGATATACAAACGAATGGGACAATCTTTGCTCCATAGTTTTAACTTGAATACTAATTAAAATGATCTCTAAAAATATATATCGATAGATTTTGTTAATAAAAGTACGATGAATTCATTTTGGATGATTCGGTCTGCGGGTTTTTTCAAAATAAATTTATGAACATGAACTCACAAACGTCGTTTACTGACCTGCTTGCAATTTTTCATTTGTTTCAAAATGTATACAAACCTCAAACTATATTTTGTTGACGTTTGTGAGTTGTGAGCAAAATCCGCGGACCGAATCATCCAAAACGAGTTCATCGTACTTTTATTGACAAAATCTATCGATGTATATTTTTTGAGATCATTTCAATCAGTATTTAAGTCAAAATTATGGAGCAAAGATTGTCCCATTCGTTTGTATATCTATATAGGGGTAGAGAGGCCCCTTATCAGTTAAATATTCTATGTTTAAAGACTGATGTATCTTATAAAATCTGCATTCACTATTTTTAGATTTATGTAAATAATTAGAGTTCTGTAAATAAAAGTTTATTAGCAAAATATTTTCTTCAATAAGCAAATCTTGGTATAAAAATTATTTTTTTAAATTTTCATAACATACGAAAAAATTTTTGAATTGACTCAGGTAAAATAATTTGATATTTAAGGAAACATTTATTTATTGCTTCTCGAACAACACAATTATGCTCTGATTTATCTTCATTCATGCTGAAAACAGCCAGGCGCGGCGAGCCCTTATTTTCTTTTTATGTCAAACACAGCGGAGCATGGCCACCCGTGATCTCCGCTCATTCTCTGAAAGGCTAGGCACGACGAGCACTTTTGCTTATTCTATTTGAAAAACGGCCGACACGGCTGATCGACCGGCCAATAATTTAAAAATATGGCGGGTTTGTACTTATGACAAGTTCTCCTGAATACGAATGTCATTAGCCAGACAATATGGCGGGCGCGGTACAGCCAATAATGATTCTTATTGAGTAATATATCACGGAACGATACGGTTAGTAAACATTCGGATATCATTACGGACGGAGCTCACGACCAATGTGCATAACGGGCCTATATAATAATTTTGTACACGTACATTACAACAACAAAATTGAGTGCATGGTATGCTATTATCTGATTGAGTTGTTCAGCGGATAACCTGGCTTGATGATGTAAAAACATAGGAAATGATTTCAATAATATATTTCCTTCTGTGCTTGTCCAAACTAGAAAAATCGATTGATTTTCAATAAAGAAAAAAATATTTTTTATATTACATATATTAAATGTTAGCTTACCTCTGCTTCCTGGCGCATTTATTTTTTCAAAATTTTCTCTACTTTTATAGGTAATATAGTTGTGACCATAGAAATATCAAGTAATTATACAGCGGTGGACTGAATCAAAGAGGTCTTCAACGAAACCACTGAATCAAAAATCACTCTGGCTTTATACCAAATAAAAAAACGCGCTGTTAATTTTATACGTAAATAATTATCCGCAGGCGTCGCTTTGTGTTATTTTTTTCTTTGAGAAAAACATTTGAAACGACGTTGCGTTATTGGGATTAGAGCTTGAGGGATATATATTTTTGAAAATAAACGTGGTAGCACTTGCCGTTTTTTCATTTAGGGATCGCCGAATATATTGTTAAAAAGAAAATTCCAGCGCTTATTGTTATGGTATTGAAAACTTGAAGAATAATTTTCAACGTATTAAGGAAACCAGTCCGTGTTAAATAAAAAAATTCAAAATATTATCTATTGTAAACTAGAAACTATTCTAAACCGACATCTACACAAATACGGATAGGCAGAGTAGGATGACATTCAGGAATAGTCTTAGATTCGTTTCAACTAAAATCCCAATGAATAGAAATAGCCATTATAAATAATTTTGCTTGAATGAAGTTAACCAGGTTAATTATTGGGATATTGGGTTATTGGGCGTGATTTGTTATACAAATAAGAATCTAGTATTCTCATAGATGATGGAAGGTGGAGCAGAATTGCCTCAACCTGAATTATTGAATGAAAAGTTCGAACGCAGTTAGACATTCATAAGTCGGGCTTACAACCAAGGTGTCCGGTACATCTGGTCTATGTCCTACTGTGCTAGAAGCATATAACATTTTGTTTTCATATATAGGGACGCTCCGTTTTGGCATACAATATTCAATCTACTTGACCTATCGATATTCTCTAGGCACATCAATTTTCTACTCGTCTTCCAAGACGAATCTTCCCATCGTCGTGTCCGGTAAAGCCGATACATGGCCCTATGTACATCAGGTAAATGGCATCGTGCTTATGAACACATAGCGAAAATCTTATGACATCTATAAATCCGGTCTCCGACCAAACCTTATATAACCACATGTTCTAAAAGTGAAAAGGATTTTGGTTTCTTAGATAGGGGGACATCCGTACGACATAAAGTAATGAATCTCCTTATCATGTAGTATTCTCTAATCAAATTAAATTTCTATTCGTCCGATGAATCTTTCCATCGTGGTGTCCGGTAAAGCCGGTACATGGTCATGTGTGCTTCAACTAAAGAGACAAAGAGATTCGGTGGCCTAAATACCTAACCGTATTCATTTATATGTTCAAGAAATGTGAGGGATTATGTCTTCTTACATAGGGGACAATCGTACGCCATACAGTATACAATGTCCTTGTCCTATCGGTCTTCTCTAGGCAAATCAATTTTCTACTAGTCCGTCGAATCATCACATCGTGGTGTCCGGTAACGCCGGTACATGGCTCTATATACTTGAGGTACATGGGATTATGCTTATGAAAAGTTGGCCAAAAACTTGTTGTGGTTAAACATAAGTGGCAGAGAGTTTCGGCGTCCTGAATTATCGGACCAAGACATCGGATGCATGTAGACAATTAAAAGTCGAGCATTTCATCAAGGTGTCCGGTAAAGACCGTATTCGATTATATGTTCGAGAAGTGTAAGGGATTTTCTTTTTTTTACATAGACTATAACCGTACGGCATACAGTAGTCAATGTCCTTGTACTATCGGGATTCTCTAGGCGAATCAATTTTCTACTAGACCGAAGAATCATCCCATCGTGGAGTCCGGTAACGCCGGTACATGGCTCTATATATTTTAGGTACATGGGATTATGCTTATGAAAAGTTGGCCAACAACTTGTTGTGGTTAAACATAAGTGGCAGAGAGTTTCGGCGTTCTGAATTATCGGACCAAGACATCGGATGCATGTAGACAATTAAAAGTCGAGCATTTCATCAAGGTGTCCGGTAAAGACCGTATTCGATTATATGTTCGAGAAGTGTAAGGGATTTTCTTTTTTTTACATAGACTATAACCGTACGGCATACAGTAGTCAATGTCCTTGTACTATCGGGATTCTCTAGGCGAATTAATTTTCTACTAGACCGAAGAATCATCCCATCGTGGTGTCCGGTAAAGCCGGTACATGGGCATAAGTGGTTAAACATAATTGACATAGAGTTTCGGCTACCTAAATTATCGGAAGAAGACATCGGATGCATGTAGACAATCAACAGTCGCGTTTTTCACCAAGGTGTCCGGTAAAGCCTCTAAATCGCAAGTGCCAAGACTTATATAAGAAAGTATGGATAGACCAAAATCTCGGTCGCAGCGATACATTCATAAGCAATTCTTCTCACCAAGATGTCCAGTAAAGCCCGTATTCGATTACATGTTCGAGAAGGGTAGAGGATTTTGTTTTTCTTACATAGATTACAACCCTACGGCATACAGTAGTCAATGTCCTTGTCCTATCGGTCTTCTCTAGGCAATCAATTTTTTATTAGAACAAAGAATGATTCCATCGCGGTGTCCGGTAAAGCCGGTACAAGGGCATATGTCGTTAAACATAAGTGACATAGAGTTTCGGCAACCTAAATTATCGGAAGAAGACATCGGATGCATGTAGACAATCAACAGTCGCGTTTTTCACCAAGGTGTCCGGTAAAGCCTCTAAATCGCAAGTACCAAGACACATATAAGAAAGTATAGATAGACCAAAATCTCGGTCGCAGCGATACATTCATAAGCAATTCTTCTCACAAAGATGTCCGGTAAAGCCCGTATTCGACTATATGTTCGAGAAGTCTAGTTGATTTTGTTTTTTTTACATAGCCTATAACCGTGCGGCATACAGTATTCAATTTCCTTGTCCTATCGGTATTCTCCAGGCAAATAAATTTTTTACTAGTCCGGCGAATCATCCGCTCGTAGTCTCCGGTAAAGCCGGTACATGGGCATATGTCGTTAAACATAAGTGACACAGAGTTTCGGCAACTTAAATTATCGGAAGAAGACATCGGATACATGTAGACAATCAACAGTCGCGTTTTTCACCAAGGTGTCCGGTAAAGCCCGTATTCGATTACATTTTCGAGAATTGTATAGGATTTTGTTTTTCTTACATAGATTACAACCGTGCGGCATACAGTATTCAATTTCCTTGTCCTATCGGTATTCTCCAGGCAAATAAATTTTTGACTAGTCCGGCGAATCATCCGATCGTAGTCTCCGGTAAAGCCGGTACATGGGCATAAGTCGTTAAACATAAGTGACATAGAGTTTCGGCAACTTAAATTATCAGAAGAAGACATCGGATACATGTAGACAATCAACAGTCGCGTTTTTCACCAAGGTATCCGGTAACGCCCGTATTCGATTACATGTTCGAGAAGTGTAGAGGATTTTGTTTTTCTTACATAGATTACAACCGTACGGCATACAGTAGTCAATGTCCTTGTACTATCGGTCTTCTCTAGGCAAATCAATTTTCTACTAGACCGAAGAATCATACCATCGTGGTGTCCGGTAACGCCGGTACATGGGCATATGTGGTTAAACATAAGTGACATAGAGTTTCGGCAACTTAAATTATCGGAAGAAGACATCGGATACATGTAGACAATCAACAGTCGCGTTCTTCACCAAGGTGTCCGGTAACGCCCGTATTCGATTACATATTCGAGAAGTGTAGAGGATTTTGTTTTTCTTACTTAGATTAC